CAAAAAATTTTTGAAAAAGTGGACCACCCTACTATATATGCTTATAGCTCAAAAAAGTGTTTTTTTTGTATAAATACGCTTGACTTTTGAGCCGTTTTTTTGGCCATATAATGCGTTTTTCGAAAAATCTAAGGTCACCATCGGAAAGAGCATGTAAAAATCTTTCAAAATACATGTGTCGATTATTTTTTCAAGGTCACTAGTAGTTTTACCAGCGAATTAGAAAAGTTTTGATCGGTGGATAATGGAGCGCGCGTTTTGCCTGCACTAATTATTTTTCCTCGGAACACAAATGCTTATAAAAAAATTACCTATTAAAATTTCGATTGTTCACGCATTTTTTTAGCTTCCTAGGACCTTCAAGAACAATACCCAATGTTCAAAGTATGCGTCCAACGAAAAAAAATTGTTCCGTTTTTAGTCGAAAAATTCGAAACTAAATTCCGGAATTGCTCATATAGACGCAGTCTCGGCCGAATTTCTTTCGATTTAAGAAGGTTTTTCTCTCGTAAAAAGGGATTCGGCCTGGAAAGAAAAGAAGAGTCTCATGGTTTACACATACGTTCCAATGCTAGAGTTGATGATGGTACTCGTAAAAGCGATCCAAAAAAGAGAAAAGACGACCTCATAGCTACGTGAGTAAAGGCCACCTATGCCCTTTGTGTAAATAGACACGCATAATTCCGTACAACCACAAGCGGGGCTCAATGATTTTATATCCTAGGGCTGATCCTTTTTTCGGGCTGGCATTTCGAGTGACGTAAAAGCTGCTCCGATTCTCGGAAGTTTTTCCTCACTTTTACCGATGCAAATATTTTATTAATTTTCGTTTCAATCCGTAAAATTACATTTCGCATCTCGAGGCTTAAAAATCATCGCGCATCGTGCCGGCAACGTGTGTAAACAATATATTTCCATGTACGTGCGTGCAGGAGAAAAATTTAAATATGCAATGATTAAAATCGCATTTTAGCCATCCCCCCGACATTTTGCCGGGGCCGAATTATCCAATCGAATGAAAACAGGCACGGCTGCCGCCGCCGTTTCAGCGTACAGTCGCTCTATTTACCAACTGTGGTGTTTAAAATAAAGTCGAACACACGCGGGCATTGGACCTGGCAAATTCCGGCGAAACTCTGGCGCGTATATATACGTGTAGGTGTACAGATACACGCGATTGCCAGTATGAGTATATAAGTTCATGCATATTTCAGAATCAATTGGCGAGCCTTCGAGAGGGTGGAGGCTCCGGCATATTCATGCATGTGTGTGCACGCGTATACCAGCTATCGGATAAATTTTAAAGCGAACCCTTCATGTATGTCGAATGCAGCGTATTATATTTACTCGTTTTGATGCTGTGTGTCGCGCGCTGCTTTCGGTTTAACGTTACAAACATGTTTATAAATTCGCACGTCCGCTGCGACGGCCTCTTTTTTTCTCTTTTTTTTCAATTTTCCAAACTAATTGACAAAATAATTCTTACTAATCTGAGCGAGAGGTTTTTATGTTTCGAGGTGCGTTCGACGGACCGATAATAATTCCACTCTGGATTGCGGTCGGTAAAAAGAGTATATAACGAATTCTGCTTGTGACGAGTGAATCGACACGACGTAATCAAAATAAATTTTAAATTTGGAATTTCGCGTACATATGAGCAACGATTGGAATAATTCGTGTCATCCGCGAGGTTGTCAATTATGGATGTGCGAGTACTCGATTTTTCGAATTTTACCTGATTCGAATCTAAATCGTCGAGTTTTAGTTGAGTCAGAAGAATTCAAGGGTCGATTCTTTTCAGGTACCCATTTTTTTCGAGTATTTGAATTTTATACTATTATATTTATGGTCCATATTTAGTTAACTTTGGTCTCGATTAGATGCCGTGGTTAGAATACACAATTTGGGACTCTTTACTTATGACCGTGTGCTTATCAATAAAAAAATCGAAACTTATTTTTTAAATGTATTTATTTGAATTTGATGATATAGAAAATATGTAATATTTAATAATACAAGACATAAAAAATACTTCAAATATGCTTATGCCCATCACGAGCTTTGACCTGCAGCCGTCAAGCAAATATTATATAA